TGCTGTTCTAAAGGTATAGCATAATTAAGGCAGAAAACCTTCCACCTAACACCCATCGTGTCAGTCTCACGGTCATCGCCTATGCCATTCTTGATGAAAATCAATGGTCGTTTGCTTGTACAAAAGATAGGAGTGTCTTTCGTGAACTCGATATCTTGCGTAAAATAGGTTTTCGGAGCTGGTAGGTGAACAACTTCCCCCTCTAACATCAACAACAAATCGTGCCATGGTATAACTTGGGGGCTCCAGCAAAAATCATTAAGAAATATGCACTCTGCATCTTGTATTCCGACCCATGCAAAACTTCCAGTAGCTGGATTACAGAACGTATGGTGCACAACCTTTAGTGGCTTAAGGAGAAAGGTCTTTCCGCAGTTAGCTGGGCCAACGATCATTACATTATGGTGTTTTTTTGTGACCATTAGCAAAACAAGATATATCCATGCCATTGTTCTGCAAAACCTCATTTGCACACTGCAGCCAATCACCATTGCATCCAGAAACACAAGCTGAGTTTGAAGCTTCTTGAAGGAGATCCATGCAACTCTTCTTAGATTGTGCAATCTTTTCTCGCGCCCCTTTCATCTGCCATGTCGTGCTAAGTATGTCTGCTAGCGTTTTAGGTGACCTATTTAAAATAAACTCAACAAGATCTGTCTTTCCCTGTTCCCGCTGTTCTTGTGCAAGTGTGTGAAGTTCCGTTTCTGTCTTGATGTTCTTGTTCAAAATTAAATTTGACACATTTAATGGCATTGGACGCTTCTTTCTTGCTTTTCCTACTCGCTTTGGTTTCATCTTCGTTTGAGTTTTGATGACGCTTTGCCTCTAAGGTTTTTCTTTCCTATGCTCGCCTTACTGGTCTTCGGAACATCAGTATTTACTAGATCTGGGTGCCCATTACTCTTCGTATGCTTCATCACTCTTCGTAACATAGCGCTATGCACTATAATAATCATGGTGAATGTTGGAATAATGAACACTGACACCAAACCTTTCTAAAAGGTATCTTTTGGAGGGAAGCCATCTCTGTATTTTGTCGAGCTTCAGCGCCATGTGGTAATGTTTCCCACCGTCATTACGGCTTTCAAGACTACAACACCAGTGAAGTACTCGGGCTGAACCTTGAGTGAATGAGTCAATGATCGCCTTTGCGAAATCATTTTGAAGAGGGAACTTTTCTAAACTCGCCTGGCTGTATATTACAAGGTAAACACTTGTAGTAGCTGATGGCGCTACACCACTGTCTTCTGGACTTTTCTCGCCGTCTGAGCTAATTGTTTCGTTTTGTTGTGAATTCAGTTAATCTTCTGCCTCGTTAGACCCTGATGCCATTTTCAAACTATACTATATGTAAACTTCAATTCTCGTAAATTCGATTTATCACAATATCTTTTATTCAGCACTGACGAACTGCACTAGTCAGCACTAGATTCGCTAAAAATATGTTTACATTATTAGTTAGCATACTCAAAATTAGTGTGTTAAGATACTTAAAGATCCTAGAAACAGGATTGCTTACAAGTTATTGTGAAATCAACCAATACAAAATATAAACACACTGATAATACTAAAACTCGATAAAGATAAACTTGTGACAATGTTTTCGCGCGCTTTTTGTCCTGAGCCCGCAAGCAGTATACTTCATGTAACAGCTCGTACACTATATATAATATTTTTCTGCGTGAGAGTGTATTAGGATGCAACGAGACTGTCGCAAGATTGATTTTGACGCATATTTAGTGAGCATATGACAAACCGGAAGCGAATGCTCCTTTAATTTCTACCTCATTGTCGAATAGTTTTTGCTTTATTACTCTAATACAGTCATAATGTAGCAATTACAGAATTTTTCGACTGTTTTCTAATGCAGGAGAAACGAGAATTAATGAAGATTTGTTGTAATACATTTTCAGACAATCATAGACAAATTTACTCGAACAAACATGGCAAATAAAGTATTTTTTGCAACATTTTCATATATACTTCGTAAAGTTGGTCCCCCCTCCCCTGAAACAATTTTGATGAACATTTCAGTCATCGTAGCAACTATTGCGGTGTTTGTACCAACAACATTGTAACAGGGCATACGGCTGGATATGCGTATAAATATTTGATTGCATTAAACTTCACCCATTTTTAATCAGCATCTGCATGTTATTTGTCTAGGATTGTAGTTCAAAATTGAAGACATTAGGGAATAGGTCATATTTACATCTGCTGCTCCAACACTCTGGAATAAACTACCTTTACATATCTGTAACAATAATTTTATGTTTTAAGAACATTTTGAAGACTCACTTTTTTTAAGATTGCGTTTAATTAACTAAATTAAACTAATGTCTTTATATATGTAAATAAGTAAGTAAATAGTATATATGTAAATAGGTCAGTCTATATCAATTCTTGTAAAGCGCATTTGATCATATTTACATGCTAATTTGTGCTATACCCAGCTAACACACAACGTAATCACAATGTTGGTAGAAGGTAGTAGGAATGTTAGGTCGGACCTAACTTTATCACGACATTCGTACAACGTTGTTTATGTTCTCGAGAATATAAATTCGTCTGACAAACGTTGTAGCAACGTTGAAATTCGACGTGCACATCAAGACGTTCAGCCAACGAGTCTACAACGTCATGTTTTGACGTTAATGCAACGTTACAAAGTAACATTCTGCACGGACATTTATACCACGTCTGTGCAACGTTAGAGTTTAACCGTGGTTCAACATTACAACATGACATGCCAACAACGTCTGTGCAATGTTATATTTTACGTTGATGCAACGTTTCTTTGTGGCGAGCTAAACGTACGCTGAAACATTGCAACAACGTTTGCACAACGTTATATTTTACGCATAAAGCAACGTCACAGCATGACATTCTATCATCGTGTGCGCAATGTTAAATTTTTACATTGAAGTAACGTTTCTTTAAGTGACGAAATAAGCGTACGGTGGAACATTCCAGCGACGTTTTCGCAACGTTAAGCTATGCACGTTTTCACATGAGTATTATAAATTTATAACGTTGAATCTCTATAATTATATTATTATTCAATTATAGACTCGAAGTCGGGGCGAATTAATACTAAATATTCGACAATAATAATTGTGGTATATATATATATATATATATATATATATATATATATATATATATATATATAAAAGCCGATAAATTGGACCTAATAGCTAACTCAACCGCGAAGAAAAATTGATGTGACGAACGCCAACTAGAAAGGGTTGAAAAGAGCGTCAGACTTTCTAGTAATTAATAGCGTCGAGCTCACCCAGAGCTCTGAACGCTATTAATTACTAAAGAGCCTGAGTATGAGGCTGGTCAGGATATATATGAGGGCAATCAGGGGAGGGGGATATAATTTACTGTCTGCATGACGCGTTCGAGTAACATTTTTTATCGTCCAAGCATCACGCCTGTCAAACGTTACATTTTAACGTTGAAACAACGTTACATCGTCACATCTTTTATCTTTTTACCCCAGGGCATCTCATAACAATTCATAACGCCTGAGCGAAGGTTAGATATTAATGGTAAACCAATCCGAGCAAACCCTGTAGAACGCCGGGTGCTGATTGGCTGAGCTAATGCTGTGCGCGATATGTGTTTTGACTGTTTTCTCGTCTCGCCGTCTCGGGTTTCACTTTACCTCGCCAGTCATCGACCGCATTTATATTGGTGTACTTTCGGACAATCTGGTTTCAGTTTTTTTGCAATTCTTTGCGATATTTGCGAGTTTCATCATTTTCATGTAAGTATAAATACTACGTGTATCTGTTTCGTTTTTAATGTGGTAGTTACTGGGGCTAAAACTTGTGTTTATAGTCGATATTACGCGGCGTCAATTTCAGTATAAATTTTGTTGATTGTAACAGCTTGCAAGTCCTTTACAAAGTTTGGATCCGTAGTCACAGATTTCCCTTCACCTGACACAGAAATTAGTGATTGTAATGTAAGTGTTGATATTACAACTGTTATATATAGTTATATCAGGGTATATTACACAGTTATACTACATTTAATATTTATATTCTATATGTGCTTCGACCGCATCGAAGATTCAAATATCTATAGTATTCTGAATCTTTGTTCGTTTGCCGGTTTGCGCTCGACAATCGTAACCAGGTTGTCTTTCTCGTTCACTAGGGGTATGTTTTGGACAGGTTTTTAAAATACATACATGCTAGTTTAATGTATAAAAGTATTACCATATCTTGCGAGGAAGCAGGACGTCGGTTGTTGCTTTGACTCAAGATCAAAGATGGCCGCCACAAGTCCTTCGCTTAAGTTAATTAATAGCCTTATAAAAATATTCAAAAAAGAAAATCTTGATCATGATCTATACAAATTAATTTTAAGTCAGACCTGGAAAATTTAAGTTTGATTTGCTTAATAACAAATTCATACCCAAGTATACACTTGCATCAGGTAAGACAGTGAGAGTGACCACAATTATTTATGGCAAATTATGCAAAAATATAAATGTTTGACACACAGGAAAATATATTAAAATCGCAA